AATTACTGTGTTAATAGCAGCTCTTCAGTTTGCACAACACACCCCACTGGGAGAACATGGAAGCCTCTGAAAAGCAATTCGTGCGTTGGTCTGTCTGGGAGCATCTGAACAAAGCCTGGAGGAGCTTCCCTCAGACCAACAGCTGTCTGGGGTGGTAGGGCAGGAGCCGAAATATTATACGAACGCATGAATTCTAGCTGAAAACCAGAAGCCCTTAATGGAGGAGTGTGACATAAAAGTGGAGAAATAATTAATTTTCCTATTGTCCAGGTAAATGGGAAGTCCACGCACATACGTTGGCATTTCTGTCTGCTCAGCTCTGGGAACAGTGTTCTTCCTGCAGACGTTTTCTGCTCAAGCTATGGACTAGATGATGCAAACAGAGAGTAAACTCTACTTCTGCTAGGTGTGTTTTGCCTTGGATTCCCTGGGTGTGATGTCCTAGGGGCCTTTATTGGGGGAGAGGAGAAGGGAGAATTCTTTACCACAGTCAGAATTCAATATAGTAATCAAAATAAATTTAAAACTCTTTTTTTTCCCAGTCAGGAAGCTAGTTTCTAATGATATGACTTTAGAACAGGTAGCAGGTAACAGGCCCAAGTTCATTTTTAGTTGAATTCCTGCCCCTTGGCTTTGCCAGCTTCCTACCGTGATTTTGAATAGTTGCTGCTGCTGTGAATGTCTCCTGCGTGGGAAGCAGGGTGGGCAGGTGTCCCGCCTTTTGTGAGGTGCTCAACCCTCGGGATAAGTGCTTCATCTGAGAGGGATATTGGGCTGTCAATTTCATTCCTGTCTTCCTAGAGGGAGGAGGGATAAAGGCTAAGTTCCATTCACCTGTAGCTGCTGGTTGAGCGTAAACACCATCACTTATGCAGGTACCTGGATTTGGAAAGACTGCTGCGTTTTCAGGTGCGTTCTTCTTCAGCGCCCAGGCAATTCTGGATGCATCTCAAGGTTTCTGGAATTTCCCAGGACTCTCTGGGCCAGAAACGCCGAGTGATTTTCCATTTTAAGCACCATTGTGCGTGTCGTGTTTGTTGGATGAACCTGAACTGGGAGCAGACTCTCACAAGCATACATCTGAGAACATCTGAGAGCATCACAGCCCCCCAGGAGGAATGAAAAAACCAGAGAGAATACAAGGCCCCCTTTGTCGGCCAGTTTAGTCACCTGTGGCCGTGACCTGGTCACTTCTATTCACCAGGCCGTCTGGTGATGGCATATGCTAGATAAATAGAAGCTAGCCACACCCTGGAAGGAAATAACATAAAAGGGAAAGTTTTATAAAAATGCTTGTTGTCCACGAGCAGCAAGTTCTGTGTCTTCTGGGAAGAGGGGAGGCACAGTTGTTAGCTGGGGGCAGCTAGAGCCCCTGTTCTATGACCTGCGTCCCACTGGGGACCCGTCTGCACCAAGCAATTGTTAATATCAGGGCAATCCGCTTCATTTATTCTAGTGATTCTGAACTTTCAGAAGCAATGAGAATCACTCATGAAACATTTTTGTGTGTGTGCTTATATTTTTAATTTTTTTTAGAGTTACATTTTTTAAATTAATAATAGTTTATTTTTACATCATTTTGTGCCTTTCCCATCCCAATTGTAATAAAAATAAATTTAAAACTCTTTTTTCTCCCGGTCAGGAAGCTAGTTTCTAATGATATGACTTTAGAACAGGTAGCAGGTAACAGGCCCAAGTTCATTTTTAGTTGAATTCCTTCCCCTTGGCTTTGCCAGTTTCCCATCACCAATTCACCCATGTGCCATCACCATAGTCCCATGCACTCCCCCTCCAATTTTAGACCCCATTCCTCACTCCACCCCCATAAAATGTCTCTGGTATATAGTTGTTCATTATTATTATTATTATTATTATTTTCCCCCCGGTTCTTTATGCTCCTGCTATGAGTGAATCCATCTGGTATTTTTCTTTTTATTTCTGGCTTATTTCACTAAGCATGATCCCTTCCAGCTCCATTCATGCTGCTGCAAAAGGCATGAGTTTATCTTTTTTGATCACTGAGTAATATTCTGTGTGTAAATGTACCACATCTTTTTAATCCAGTCATCTCCTTTTGGATATTTGGGTTGAGGGAATCACGGAATTTTTACGAAATATAAATATTCAGGCTCAACAAGAGAGATACTGATCAGTTGTTGGCAGTGGGGTCCTGACATTTTGCTTTGTTTTTGTATTCTTAGTGTGGGAACCAGTGACTAAAAGTCATCATTTGAGCCATTATAAAACCACAGGATAGGGGAAACAATTAAGGAAGGTTCGAATCACTATCTCCTGTTGGTAGAAAGACTTGAACAAAACAGCGCCTTCTTCCACCTTCTGGAAACCTCTTTGCACATCTTCTCTTTGGTATGCCCCAACTTTCTGGGTTTATCCAGCCCCTCCAGTTTACTACAACTGAGGGGGCTGGAGGGTGGTAACTAAACTGTCCTGTGAATCACATGACTCAGACCACACACGTGTCTAGTTTGGTTTAGTGAAACATTAACTTGTGTCTTTTCATCAAAGACTGTGGCAGGTATCTTGTGAGGATGAAGTCCAGTTTTTCCTTAGCCAGAATGGGTGTGAGCCCCAATCAACTTCCTGAGGGCGGCAGAGGAGAGGCTGTCCATGAACTTGTTTAGGTGTGTCTCAGGGAGTACAGCTCAAGGTTCACCTCTGGTAAATGGTTAACAGAAACACCTTTGCTAGCCTCATCAATGTCTGAGAATGTGTGTTGAAATGGTGATTTTGAAAGGTACCAAGTGGACAGTTGTGCCCACGGCTTTTTTGGTGGAAGGGAAGCGGCAGCCCAGGCAAGGGGTGCAGAAACTCCCAGTCTCCTCTCAGCTTCCAGTGGCTGCTAGCTCTCACGTACATACCTACTCTAGAATTTTCACCCTTTGCTCCCAAACTCTGGTCTGCAGGAATGACTTAGCACCCTGCCTAGGGGCCTGCTGCCTGGTCTTTGTCCATATAATTTAGAGAGCACATGGCAAGATGAAATAACGGCAAAAAGGCTTGGGGGAATGAAACCCCTCATCACCACCCGCGCCCCAGCAAGTTTCAGATATTAATTAATCAGTGTAAACTCCAACACAATACTCTAACATGATTTCATGCATTTAGAAGGGAAATACTTCCAGGTTAAGTAGAAAATTGTGTGGATAGATTCTGGAAGATCTGCATTTTAAGCAACTTGATAGTGAATTTTTTCATTTAGAACTCTGAACTTGCTTCAGTCTTTTGAAACCTATACTCAGAGATCAGAATTTGTATTGTTCATTGGGATGCAGTTTGTTCCACGGTTCTGGGTTATTCTTTCTGTCCCAACTGACATCTGGATCGAACAAAGTCAGGCACATGACACATAGCTCTGCTCCTGTACCTCCGGCTCCAATAAACACAGCGAGGGGGATCAAGCGAGGAAGCTTCTTGGCCTGAGGATCTGGCAGAGCATGGTCGCAGGAGAGGCCTTGGGCAGGGAAGGGCAGGACAAGAAATCTGCAAAGCCTGGGACGAAGTCTCTTGGGAAATGAGTTTTGGCAGGTTTCTCTCAGAATTGAATGAAGTTACGCCCTGATTTAGCAAAAAATGGTGCAGAATGCTACATCTGCATCTTTGTAAAAGTCACACTACGCTTTTCATAAGCACAGGGATGGCTGATGTGAACATTGTAGGTTGGTAAACTTAGGGGGAAAAATCGATCTGTAAGATTCATATTAAAAGATATTTTAAAGTCCTAGTGAGTTGTTTTCAAGGAAGCTCAAATCGTGATGCAGAATAGTCAGTGCTCGGCCCTCCTGGTGGCACAGCTGGTTAAAGCACAGCACTGAGAAGCTAAAGCCACTTCAGCATGAGTTCCAGCCCCACCGTGGGAGGTGACCACATGGCGTGGCAGACCTCTCCTGACACCACATGGCGTGGCAGATCTCTCCTGACCCGCCCGCTGCTCCCCTCAGCAGTGTACTTTGTCAGTCAGCCTGTTCTACTCCCCACTCTGTCTCTGATGAAGCCTCTTACCACCCCTGCACCTCTGGCCTGTTACCCCAGGTCTGCATGCATAAATGAATAAATCTTAAAAAATAGTCAGTGCTCATCTTAGGCTTTTACTACCCTTGTAAAAATCATATTTTAACAAAGTTGTTATGAGAAGAGAAAATAGTTTCTGCATTGTTTATTGAGAGATAACTTTATACATTAGCAATGGTTGCGCCTAAGTTATATGACAGATGACCATATAAACGAGGGGTCTTGTCAACAATGCAACTGCAATTACTATTACAGTTATTGACATTTTTAATAAAAACGATGTAAACAAAAACATGGGTGTTTTGCCAAAATAAAAGGCAATAAAATCCAGAAAACAGAAACACATCCAATGTTAGCACATTAACTATTCAAATAGCTCACTGGAGTCATAGAATACCCTCAACCCCAATTGTGTCAATTCTGTACCAGATGAGTAAAATGAGAGAAAACGACACTGATTTGACCCAGGAATGGAAGAACATGCTGAACAGAAGACTTCTGCATCGCCAAGGTCACTGCTTTTCATTTATACCCTAAGCATTTCCCCTCCATTTGCCATTTCTTAAAGATAGACTTTCCCTTAGTAGGTCTCTGGAAGGCTGGCTACCAGCTATTCACAATAAGACTGATAGGGGACCTAATCGGAGCCTGGACTCCAGAGTGAGCACCTAATGTACCAGCTCAGTACCCATGTCACACAGAAAGCTTTTAATCACAGTTTATCCATGAGGATTCTCACCTCCCTTTTGGAAAATAGATGGTAAAATTAACAAGAGCAACAACAAAACCAAGCAAACTTTCATACAGAAAAGGAAAATAAAAACCCTTATGTTTATGTAATTTTTTTAACCTGAAAAGGGCTAAGGTTGCCGTTGACAGATATAAATCTGGAAAACTGGTCAGTTTCTACCCATGGGCCTTGGTGACTTCATGACATTCCCCTGAGTTTGCTTAATGACAGCAAGCAAACAAACCAGAAGCGTGATTAAGAAAATTGCATAAAATAAAGTGAAAACACTACGTGGTTTTATCTGTTGTATTTCCTGGTCAAAGTGTCCAAGGAGCTAAGAGGTCGGTGCTTCTACCACCATTTCCCACAGGAATCCTTCTACTCATGAGGTTAAGGCACCAGGTCGGACAGAGGTGAGAGGGTGACATGTATATGGACCATGCAAGCCGCAAGGGCTCTGTGGAAGACCAGCCAGCAGGAAGGAAGCGAGGTGATCCCAACTCAGCTGAAAGGTCCTGCAGCCTTCAAGTGGGTCAGAGGCTAGACTAGAAGCTCTGGAAGGTACTATAAGGCACTCCTACAGGGACAAAGCGCGAGTGGCGAGGCCAGCATGGAGGAGCCTGAGGCCCCCCTGGTCCAGAAGCTGGTTTACTAGCCATGAGAAGTCTGGACCACGGCTCAGAAGAGGGGGCCAGGATGAGCATGGAAAGCGGGGAGAGGCTGGCCTGCAGCTCCCTGGCTGTAGGAAAGTTCTTTGCTGTGCTCAGAGGAGCTGGAGGTGCCTGGCTCTCCCAGCTGGACAGCAATGTTTTCACTGCCACTCTAACAAGATGGCTGCTGTCTACACAGGTGGAGACCAAAGTGAAACAGCAGTTGTCTGTTCACGTAACACATTAATGTATGATCACTCGGAACCCTTTTCAATCAAACTCCTGACAATCACCGATGTATTTAGGAGGGGGCTCCACACGTCGGACTTTTACAACACTTGGTGATTTTACCTTGCTACACGTCTACTAAAACATACCAAAGAAAAACCCTCAAGCCAGAGATTTTGGAATCAACCAAATCAAAATGAGAACTGTCTGCAAAGAAGGCGGCTGCTGGGAGCTGGAGTCTGTGTGTGGCCACGGGGTAGAAGGAACAATTGCTAAGATAAACTGACCAGGGCTTAGTAACTTGTTCCTGGGTGCAAGCTCAAGCTGTTAGTCCTGCTAGACTTGGGGACTAGCCACACAATACAGAAGCTCTGAATGTTCACTGTCAGCTGGAACCCAGGAAAGGGAAACAAAATGCTTCTAAGATTCAATTCATGCGAAGGGGGTGGGGAGGTGGGGAGTGGTCATTTCTTTCAGCCTTGCCCAAGGTCTCCATTTTTTTCACATTATTTTACAATTAGAAAAATGGTGAGACAGAAAATCCAGAAAGAAAAGGGGGAAAGGTGCATGCATCTCACTTTACTGGGAGGGGTTAAAACAAAACAAAACAAAACAAAACACATTTGTGTTGACTCCAGGCAGACTTAGAATCAGGACTTAAAGTCTTCTTACTTCATTATCACTAGTTATCTCAATTAAGTGCAGCAGAACAGAGATGACTCATTCTACATGAACGTGAATAGCAGCAATAATTTTACCCTAAATTAGTGGTGGAATGTTCGTCCGCTTCTCCAGATGCCTCTCCTTGCAGGAGGTGTTGAGTGGCATCACGCTTGTTCCATCCTGGTATCATCTACAGATGACCTTTTCTGGCCCAGGGATGGGTAGTAGAGACCTGACCCATTGGTTTGGGAGCCAAGTCTTTTTGAGGAGGCCGGGGAAGAAACTATCCAGTGTTAATGTTCAGTGTCCACATGCAGAGACAAAGCAAGACCACGCCCCATTGAGGTCCAGCCCAGCCAAGGTTGCTAGAGCGAGAGCCACACTCCCCCGCAGCTGGAGCCTGGAGGACATCACCCTGCCCGCTGAGACCACGAATCTCAAGTGCTAGAGATATCCCTGTTTAGGTAGAAGCTTATTCTAGAAAAGTTAAAAAGCGATTTCCCTAATCAAATATTCAAGCTCCTAAAAAAGATTACCCTTAGCTCCACAGACGTGCAAACGAAGAATCCAGTCTCTTGAAAAGGCAGTGAAATAAAGACGGGAGACAGAGTTTATGTGGTTTTCAGATAAAGAGGCCTTCAACGTGAGGCTAAAGCAGCTCTGGAAAGGACACAGCTCCCACTGCATTGACTGTTTTTTAAGTACATTGCGGCTTCCTGCCGTGGTGCAAACTGAGGTCTATTTTAGGAACTGGCTGCGTTACTGCAGGGTTAGATGCCAACACTTCACTAGGGTTGGACTGTCTCACACATGAGTTTCTGGCACTTTTAGGAGGGATTTCCTCAAGTGATACACCAGGGAATGGGCCTTCCAAGTGAAAAGGTTCCCCTGACTCGGCTGCCAGCTCTAGGAGATTAATTGGCCATTTTCTCATATGCTTTATGTGCAAGATATTTAATATGAGATGAAAAATGGAACACGAGGGAAAGCAGGTATTAGCTTAGTCTTAAGGAGGTGGTAATCCACAGATTTGCTTTTGTTTCGACAGTTTCTGAGCAGAGAAACAATTACCTAACAGTGCACCAAGTAATTGGTTAGGGTTGAAAATAGTGAGCGTGTTCATGTGCTCGGAGGCATTCTGGGCTGAAAAAGGCCATTTTAAGTTTCCATGGCAGACCCTGCTCCTAGGCCGGCTCTGCTGTGTCCCACTGGATTTTGGTGGTGGTGGCTGAGTGTTGGTGCAGGCCTGTGGCTGGCCCCGACCCTGCTGTCAGGGACTCACAAGAGGAAGAGAAAACAGCAGCAGATGGGATTCAGTGCCAATTCTGGGCAGCTGATGTTGGTAGCACTCTATTCCTCCCCCCACCCCCACCCTTTTGAAAATAAGCAGAGAAGGATGTGAGTGGAAAGTTCTCCTTAAGAGTTCAGGGACTGCTAATCTTTAGTACGGCCCTCTACAATGGCACTGGTGAGAAACAGGCCTTTCGAAGAGGAATCCAGAATTCTGACTCTTGGCGGGTCCAAGCCGGGTGTCTGTGAGTTGGGACAGGAAATTCTGTACATTGAGCTAATGTGCTAGAAGGGGAGGAGATGATCCTGCTTACAGGTCTCCGATGCAGTGTGCTGGGGACGCCTTCGCTGACAGTGGGAATCAGAGACATTAATTACAGTGAGTGCAGAAGCAAGCTACAGTGACAGGGAGCCGGGGGTGGAGGAAAAGGCACTTTGCCATCGAAGCACATCTGTTTTATAATAAGCAGGTCTATAATTCTCTTGTGAAAGATCATGTTCTGCTATCTTCTCTGAGGCTGGAAAATATAAATACTGTATTTCAAGAATGGGGAGGAGGGAAGAGGAGATGATCAAATTTGTTTCCCTGTTTGCCAAGAGCTTGTTTGAGATTCTCCACTTTTGTGGACAATATTGTAACGGTATAACCTGTGTTTCCAAGCACAAAGGCCTCATGAGTTGTCTCCTGAACAGGGCTCTGGCCTTTTAACAGGTTTTTATGCCTTGGTGACAGCTACTGTGTAGTCAGAAAATAAATACAAGCATGGTGCTGAGCTATTAAGCTTTTTGATGTAGCTCCATTTGTTGTTTTCTGCTTTTGTTGTTTGTCTGCTGAACTATCAGGTTGATATGTGTGGCCAGGGGCTGAAGGAACGGTAGGTTGAGAGGTGAAATGCTTACTTTGAGCAGTCTGCACGGAAGTCACTCTGTAAAGTCATGTCTCTGAACGGATGGACGTGCCGTCAGTTTCGGGATATGGGGCAGTGGGGGGCAGGGAAAGGTGGTCAATGTACCTATACACTGAGATCCACTGATTCGCTAGACCCAAGTAGCAGTGACACTATGGAACCATGACGGTGTAGAAGGCGTCTACTCAGTGGAAACATCACCTTCTCATATAGTCTATTGAGAATCGCCTCAATAGAAGCATTTTTTTTTTTTTTTCTGTCTGTAGAAGAAACGGGAGGTATGAGTTCCGGTACCAGAATATCTCCCATCTCAGCGGCTGCTACCTGGCCCTTCAAAGGGCAATGTGGTGGGAAGACACCACCCTGCCAGGTGGCTAAGCAATTCGTTATATTTCTTATTCCTATGCTATTACTTTTAGCACTTTTTTTTTTTACCTTAAGGTGGCAATTATATATGCATATATATTTCAACAATATAGATTTAATTCATTAATTATATTGTAAGTTGGGTATTTTCTTAATAGCCTAAGACTATTTTGAAATTCCACGTTACTCTGATTTTTTAAACAAGTATAAAATGTGAAAGTAGACATGATTAAGTGGACCAAGTCAAGGTCAAAATGGAAATGCGATGAAGAACAATGAGAAATAAAGCATTTAAAATGACTCGGCAGGGAAATGCCTGCACAAAATTTGGTGGAAAGAAATTGAAGACCATCTTTTGGAATTGTACACTGTGTACCTTTTAGACCAGTTTACAAACTGGTGTATTACATAACCATCCTAGCAAATTTTCACAAACCAGCACCATTAAAAACATCATAAATATTACCCATGAAAACCCTGCAAAACACTTCTCAAGAGTCATTTGGACAACCTGGCAAAATGGTGGCCTATTACTGCATTAGGTGGGCCTTGAGATTCGTACCAGCAGATTCATACAGAACAACCACTTGTGTTATTGGTTGCAGAGATCTCATCTTTTCTCAGGAAAAAGTCTTTCTGAGATTAACTTCAAATCCAGAACTAGCTCTCCTCGTAAATAGGAGCGCATACTTGCTGTCAGAGTGAGCTCGTACTCCAGTGTTCTAAGCCATTTGGCTCCATGTCAGGGACCCCGCCTCTGCAGCAGAAACTGAGGCCAGCCAGCCAGAGAGGTGGCCCTGGAAGGTCGTGGGAGTCCCTCCTGTGTTTTGAAGATTTTCTTACGAGACAGATGACGATAGGTGCTAGCCTCATTACCTCATCCTCTATAAAGGCTAAAAATAAATAACACAAAAATAACCTGAAGTGGTGGAGTTCCGTAGGAAATGCTTCCTCCTGTGCTCTGTATAATAAAATGGCCCGAGAGCCAAAACACAAAGAAAAAAAAAAATCTGACCTATAAAGCATTGTGTGTAAACCACGTTTTGCTTGGCAAAAAAGCAGCTGAAATTCATGGCTAAGTGTAATTCAGCTATTGGTAATTTTTTGAGCCACACAGTCTTCATGAACCTTTTGGACAATGATTTGTACAGAACATTCATACAAGATGTCTAGGTATGTGTGTATATATAAATAAATACTCTATCTAGCTGAAGACGAGACATACTCTCTTCCAAAGGGGTCTAACTGGCTAGTTAGGAAGCCGCTGGGGCTGATGGAGCGCTGAGGTCAATCCCTGGCCGTGGTCCTGCTGAGTCAGGTGTTCTGGTAGGATAGCTCGAACATGCTGCAGGCCTCCTCCAGGCTCTCGTCCATGTTCAGCCTCCGCCAGAAGGACTTCTGCTTCATCTGCAGCTCTCGGCGCACGCACCTCGGGCAGGGGACAGACTTTTCTTTGCATTCAGAATGGAAAACAGCTCCACAGCTTTCGCACCTGCAAAGCCAAGCGTGGATATGATGAGCAGGATTGAAATGAGCAGGACAGAGACCTGCAGGAAGAGACCCAATACTTGATTCTGGACAGTTGTGTCACTGGGAAGGGAAGTGACTCACAGAATCCATTTTCCCTTATCCAAATTGCTCCAGGTTGATTTACTAGAAAATCTTTCCCCTACCCTGCTGTGGAGAGGTTTATGGCTGATGGGTGGAGGGGAATCAACAGTCAGTTAACAACCAGTGGACAGAGCTCTAGAAGCTCTGTGCTTGCTTCCTCAACACTGAGAAAATAGTGTGGGCGATCACCATGGGAAAAAGGACAAAAGACAAGAGCAAAATGTTTCACTAACTGAAAACACTTCAAACACCCTCACCACCTCAGGCCACTCAGAGACTCAAGCTTCCTGCTTCCCGCCAGCTAAGGGGCGCCATGCTGACCTGCTGCCTTTACGTCATAGTAAAGGCAGTGGGAACGAAGTGCGCTTTTTCACCTGAGTGAGATCCTGTGACTTCCTGTTTCTCTGAGTTTTTTTTTTTTTTAATTAGAAAATCCTCCCCTTTTACATGTTTATCTGCTACAACAACTGGAAACAGTAAAGCAGAAAAGATCGAGGAAGAGATTTTTTTTAAAGCAACACAGAGATACTGTCATTTATAGAGAGGAGGCATTCCAGGTGGATGATGAGCTTGTTGCCTGGCTTGGTGGGAAGCTTGTTCAGGAGTCTAAACGGCTTGTTTTTATTGCAAAGCCTTTAGTAATGAGTAACTGACAAGCACGTCCCCAGCTAGCTGCTCCCATGGGTGGCTTGCCATGTCAGTCAAGTTCTCGTCCTTCCACACATGAGCAACAAGCAACCTCACCAGTTCCGGGGGGCCAGAAACTGGGCCCAATAATTTATTCAACCAGCAACATGGAGATTCAGCCCTGCACTGAGCTGGCTCTGAGGGAGAAGCCCCAGAGCTCAGCCTTACAGTCCTGTTCCCTTTCCTGCCATAACCTGAGTTTTAGTTCTGGGTGTGGCCTGGTCTTTGTGACACCATTTGCAAGTCCACCACTGACACAGCTTCAGCACCATTCAGTATTTAGAAAGTTTGGGGTGCTGTGTCATGCTCAATTTCCTCTATCGAAACGCTAATCCTTAATGTCACTGTATTTGGCAGGAATTAAGGGAAGTCATTCGCTGGACCCTGATCTGACAGGATTAGTGTCTGGAAGGAGAGACCCCGAGAGCTGTCTCCTTTTGTGTGCGCTTGATGGGGACCACCACAGGTGGTGGTGGTCTGCAAACTGGGGAAAGCATGCACACCAGAAACCAAGCCCTGGCGGCCTTGGTCTGGGATTTCTGACTCCAGAACCAGGAGAAACGAGTGCCTGTTCTTTATGCCACCTCTCTTGTGGTATTTTACAGGACAGCTGAGCCAGACCAAGACAGTAAACTTGAGCGAGGTGCTTCACCTCTCTGAGCTTCTGTGCCTTATCTCCTAGATGGAGTTTCCATGAACACACCTCAGCAGGATGCGGGGGGCTCCAATGGACTGAGGGACTCAGCCTTGAGTTCAGTTCCTGAAGTGTGTATAATGCAGCTAAGACAACTTCCTCCAGTGTCTTCATTTCCATCTGACTTCTCTGATGTCACCATAGTGACCTGAGGATGTCTTGATTAAGCCCCTCATGTCTTGGAGAACCCCAAGATTCTAAGAGGGCGAATGAATGTCTCGTGAGGACACAGTGAGCTGGAGACAGAGCTGTGACTAGAACCCAGGACTCCTAGCAGCCTGGCCAAGGCTGAGCACAGAGCCGCTGGCCTGAGGGCGGCCGTGTGCCACGGTGGAGGAAAACAGGGAGGGCTTGGGGTCAGCGTACTTGTGTTCACATCACAAATCTTTCTTGCAGCTCAGTGATCTTGGACAAGTTATTTACTTTCTTGGTGTTCTGGTTTCCTTATTTATAAAATGTGGCTGACCGTGACCTGCTTTCTGCTCCCAGGGTGCTGTGCGGCTAACACGGTGAACGTGTGTGGAAGGACTGTGCAAACAGCACGTGCTCTGCAGAGCACTTCTCGTGGTGACTCCGGTGCCTGCCTCCTTGACATGGGTGCCACCCTGGTCGAAGCAGAGGACACCAGGGGTGCCCCCTGCGCCCAGTGGTCAGCTCTAGATCTTGCAGGGAATTTGTCTGGGCTGGCTGTTCCCCTGTGGCAGCGGCTTTGACCCCCACAGCATCACACCTCTGTGACCTCCTATCACTGAAGTGACACTAATGGTAGCTTTATCAAATACATTTCCTCCTTCCTGCTCCTTTTACCACACGAGTTAGTCAGTGATTTATATACCTCGGGATGTTGCCCGAGGGCAGTGATTGATAAGGAGAAACTGCTGCGTTCCTTCAGTGCCACTCCCTTATCTCTGTCGATACCAGCGCCCAGGACTGAAGAGGTTGAGTCTTATCGGATATTTCTGGGGCAACAAACACCCATGGGGTGATGGAGGGACCCAGTACACCTGCTCTTTCTAGCCAAAGGTCAGTAACTGAAGAAAAAAAGTCTGAGATAAAAAAATTAATGATTTCAGAATAGAACCAAGTCCTACTTTCTAACAATTTGTAACCCAGCAGGCATCTTTTGAACTCTATAATGAAACAGAGTGATCAATGACCTTCCTAAATTCAGAGAAGCTATTGTTAATTCCCCTCCCGCCTCTGATTTTCTCTTTAAAGGAAAAGAATAAAGACAGGAAAAGGAAGGAGGAAAAGAAACTGTTCTCTTGCATAAGTTTATGGAGCTCTACATTAACAAGCTAATGTGCAGGAAAAGTAATGTATCGACATTAAAAAAAATGTAATATGCAGGTGTGCCCCTCTCTAAGTAGAGGATTTTAGTGAAAAAAAAAAAAAAAGCCTTTTACTATAAAAAATACAGTGGATTCTTAGTGTAAACTGACTTCCCTGACTGGATCAAAAAAATGATTTAACAGACACAACTTTTTAGGAGCAGCTCTTTTATATAACACTGCAACGCTACCAATGTAATCATCTGTGCAGCCAATCACAACAGATAATAAAAGAGAATGTCCTTTCAGGGCTGCTGAGTGATAAGCAAATGAAAACCAGTGCCTTCAGAGTCACTCCGGCCAGCACTTAGCTTCTGGCTGTCACTGCACACCACGGAAAACAAACACCTTCAGTGCCTCGTCCCCAGCATCCTCAAGAAGGCGACGACTGACCAGAGCCATTCCGTGGGTTCCCCATGTTCTCCTGAAGACATCCATTGCTTCCCTTACTCCAGGGATGTCCACTTCAACTCTATGGACATCTGCAGCTGGACAGCTCTTTGTTGTAGGGTGTTAAGCAGTAGCCTGGTCCTCTACCCCACTGGCTACTAGCAACAGCCCTCCCCCCAACCGTGACAACCACCAATGTCTCCTGACACTCAAATGTCCAAATGTTCCCTGGGGTTTGGGCACGAACTTCCCAGTGGAGAACCACTGACCCAATCCACCTGGAGAAGGCATCCCGGAAGGTCCTTGAATAGTGAACTAGCCAGTGTCACCTGCTGGCTTATACCATTGCGAACCCATAGGGTCTAGCAGAGTACACTTACTCAAACCCCTGTCACAAGTACATTATTTTTAATCTGTCGCTTGATGATAAGAACTGAAACTCACTAGCATAATCTCCTTTAAGAGATCAATATCCAGGACACAATTCTGTACATTGCTGAGTAATCTGCAGCTTTTTATATACTCACTCTGAGTTGTCAATCCTACCCCAAACCCGTCCTGGGGGCCTGGCCCTCATGTTGTATTTATTTGATCTTTGGCCACAAACCTCTGGGCTGTTTCTTTGTGGCATTCTTTGTGTCTTTATGTACTAGCAAGGTCATTTAGCAAATCAAAACACAGAACTTATGTATTTGTTTCATAAACTGTGTCCCTTTTATGGAACTGTAAAGGAGCGAGGTTTCAGGAACTTCTACAAAAACAAAAACAAGGGACTAGTAAGCTATGCACAGGGCTACCAACTCCAGAGGAGACAGCTTCTCAGTACAGCTCAGTTCTTGACCTTGTTGGCCTGGCGTCCCTGCTTCTTAGCAAGTCCTTCATCTCTGAACCCTGCTCTTCAGACATGTGAACAAGGTTGGATTAGAGGGTATCAGATGTGCCTTCCAACTTGCAGCTTTTGTGCAGGGGGGAAAAGCTACCTTGGGTTTTACCTTCCTCTCTCCTATTTTCTTGCCATAGGTCTTTGGGTGAGTGAGTGGGGATGTTCCCTTGCTGACCTGACCCCTCCTTGCAAAGCCTCAAAATGCCATACTGGGACCAAATGAGATAAGCCTTGAAGTGAAAAGCATTACTGTACATTTTACTTATTTGCATGGAATAATCAAGAATGGACATTAATGAAACAGTTCATATGAAATATCGAAATACCCGAGTCATCAGGATTTTGACCAAAAGGGGCGGACTCTGCCCCCTATCTCATCAAGTTTCAATTATGCATTAAGAATTGCTTTCTAGGGGCCCTCCCTGGTGGCGCAGTGGGTTAAGCCCAGTACCAAGAAGCTAACGCCACTTCAGCATGAGTTCGATCCCCGTTGGGGAGCTGACCCCTCCTGACCTGCCTGCTGCTCCCCTCAGCAGTGTTACCTCGTTGATCTGCCTGTTCTGCTCCCCACTCTGTCTCTGGTGAATCCTCTCACCACACCTGCGCCTCTGGCCTGTATCCCAGTTCTGTATGCATAAATAAAGAAATCTTTAAAAAAATTGCTTTCTAGACTTTCTTCAACCCTCACCGGCAGCCCCTATCCCCAAGAGAAAATGCAGAATTGTTAAATGTTTTCTTTTTGGGGGGCTGGGGCTGGCTGAGGCAGCAGTCACTCACTACCATATGTGGAGTGTGTCTGTGTTGTAACCACCGGGACAGCCACACTGCAGCGAGCCAGGCACGCATCAGCACTGCCAACCCCACGGGGTAGGGGTGAGGAAAGGCGGGCCTCGTCC